TACCTCTGCCTCCGACCCTAAGGTTTACTCTCGTTACCCCCCCTATCCTGCATTCCCTCTCTGTGACCTGTGTTTCCTGCTCGATACCTCTCACAGTTACACACTTTATTACTACTACTACTTATATATAACAAGCTTTAGTAGTTATAAACTTTAAGCAATACTTTAGAACTTAAGTTATAATTAATGCTTATAAAAATTAAAATTTAGAAGTATATAAATAGTTTACTAACTTTTATAGTTAAAGTGTTTAAAAAGGTTTTAAAGAGGGCAGTAATAATTGCGCATAAGCTAGTGTTAGTGTAATAAAAAATTACTAAGCTTTAAGCAGCTAATAAAGCTACTATATAACATAAATTACATAAAAAAAAGCAGATTAAGGCAGAAAAGACTTTAATAATTTAAAAAAGCCTACACTTAATAGCTCTAAAGAAGTTTAGAGCGCGCAGTAATAGAAAGAAGGCAAAAAAGCAGGTGTAAGCTAAAGTAGGTAAGCTATTCTAAAGGCGCTGTAGACAGTGCAATTAGACTAGGCATAACACGCAAATGTGTAAGCAAGAAGTAGAAGTAGTATTTAAATAATATTCTAGGCTGTACTATACTATATAGTGCTAGAGCAGGTTGTTATAGGCTATAATAGAGATTGTTAGGGTGGGGTCTTGGCAAAAGTAAGCGACTCGGGTGTGTAAGCAACTCGCCTATGAAGTACGTTATAATTAATCTTTATTATAAACTTAGAGCAGTGCTTAACTTACATACTAGGCTAGTTTAAGCTAACCTAGCCTAGATTACACTTTACACGTAAGGAATTAGCTATATTAGCTACAGCTATAAGCTTAAAAAAAATCTGTGTGTAATAAGCTTAAGTATATACTTAATAACTATCTTTTTTTTAAGCTTAGTTAAATTTCTTAATTTAAGCTAGTATTCTGCTTATAAAAGCTGTCTAGCGCGTTAATTACTTAATGTTATATAAAAGACATTATAGATAGCTATAGCATATTATAAAGAAAGTTTTAAGTCTTATTTAAAAGCTTAAAAAGTAAGCTATATCTAACATTTTTTAGAAAATTTAATCTAGTGTTGTTGTTAAAGCATTATATAGATAGGTAAAGTGTAGTAGGGGCTTAGCAAAAGTAGCTAGCTAACCTGTGTGGCCGGCTAACCTGTTAGGTACGTTATAAAAAGATAATTTATAATGTTTTTACATTAATTTTTATATTTATATAGTTTAGAAGCTAGTTATATAACGTCTAGTAGCTAGTTAGAATTAGAACAATCCTAATAGCAATCTTTAGCCTGTTAATAAAGGTGTGTATAATTCTTAGCTACATAAAAGTGTTATTATTACTAGTTACTAGCGCTTAAAAACATCTACTTTTATAAAGCTAGGCCTTAGTTGCAGCATCTAAGGTTGCTATACATGTAAAAAAAAAGTTATAAAACATATTATCTAATAAGGCTTATAAAACTAGATATATCCTATTTAGAATTTACACTACTACTAAATAATATAGCACTTATTAATTATAACTAGTTAAACTTAGTCTATAAAGCTACTTATAAAAAAAATAAAACACTAAAAAAATTACCTACATAAAGCTAAAAAAATATATATATATAATGTTTTTTAAAAATTTTACTAAAAAGTTTAGAGTTAGAATCTTTTATTTTTATAGTAATAAAGCATAAATAAGCTTTAAAATTTTTTCTAATTTTTTTTCTTACTTTTTTTTAAGCTTTAATAATAAGATAATCTAAAGTGTTATATACTTTATTATTACTAAATATGCATGTAATATAATACTTTTACAAAACCTAGTTTTTATAACTAAAATTATATTACCTAAACTAAAGATAAGGCGTTAAATAATATAAACCTACTTAGTATATAGTTTTCTTTTACTAAGTAAAAAAAAAAGTATTTTAAATAAAAAGCTTTTATAAGCTAATACTATATAGTTTCTAACATTAAACTACAACTATATAAATAGTTATAAGAATATTATTATTTTTATTAAATAAAAAAATATATGTAATCTTTTTTTATATAGCTTAGATTTTTATTAGTATAGCGCTCTCTAGTGTTCTAGTAAAGGACTTAGGGTTTTGTTAATAAAGTGCCTAGTAACACTTAATACAGAATACTTAATTATAATAAGCACACTTTTTACTATAATTTACTACACTAAGTAATACTTATGTATTTACTAAATAACTTAATTATAAATTAAGACTATTTTACTTATACTATATATTACTATTTTAAATTTGTGCAGCAGCCTTTAAACTTAGTATGCTTTATTTAAAATAAAAAGCGTGTTTTAAAGGCTAAATTAAAGTAAGTTAGTTAATTTTAGCTATTATTAATAGTTAAACACAAGTAAATAGACTAGTAAAGAACAAAGTTAAAGAAAACAGTTGTGTGTTAGAACATGTGCAATGCTAAGCCTATAATTTTTATAGTTAGAATATTAAAAATTTATTTAAAAATAGTTTAAAAAAGATTATATATACCTTTTAAGTAATTAATTTTAATTATAGGCGCTGTAATAAGCTATGTGTAATAGTATCTTGTATAGAAGTTTTTAGTAAGTTAATAGACAAAGCTTTGCACACGTCGCGCTGCACTAAAGTCCCTCAGACAGCAGCCAAGAAGGAAGAAGCCCTAGCAGGGGTCTGAAAGTATCTATACTATTTGTGTACTAGGGTCTTCTTGGAATGCCGTCTGAGCTAGCTGAGATAAGCGTCTCGTGAAGCCTGCGACCTGACGAGGCTATTCTTAGAGGGCAATGGATGTCAGGCAGCTGCAGCTGACGCACTTTATCGCTTTGCTTCGGAACCTTCATTCCAGGTAAGCTTTCACAGCTTTTCCAGCTTTTCGGACTTTGCAGATCCCCCGCACTAAGTTGAATTTGCTACAGTGGAAAGGAGGGGTACCCATTGAGATGTGAGGGGATGTACTCGGAGATGGACATGTACTCGGACACCGACACAGCGAACTTGCCTCACGACGCCGAAATATGATGACAGCTCTCAAATAATCAAAGCTAATCGAATCGGTTCCGAAACTTGAGCTCGAGGTCAACACTGCAATTCGGATCTTCCTTCGTGAATCTTCACCTCACTATTGTCAGCACATTGCTCACCTGCAGGGGCACAGTTCCATCGGCCATCGGCTCTCCGCATTGTCACACCCCAGATCAAATATTAGTTCATTTCTTCTCAGCTCTGGTTTTAGCGTGTCCCACCTATAAAGCTTCCCCTCCTCCACTCGCTTTCTTATCTTCGTTCTCATCCTACCCTCTCCCTTTGTGGTTTTTATCTCTGTCTCGAACCCCGTCAATATGGATGACGAAGCGCGACAAGCTCTCGCCAACATGGCGATGCCTCGCAGACCCATAAACTACGTTCCGGCACAGTCAGGAGAGATATTGAAGCTTGGACACATTACCTGTCGCGTGATGGAGGATGGGTCGAGGACAGGTAAGACGATTCCTGTACTTTCCTTGCGTTGTGGCTTTCAAATACATCCGTGGGAGATTGAGCCTGATTAAAGGCCCACGAGACTGATGCTATATAGATAATAGAATCGGCAGCGCCGAATTTACCGTCCCAGCCGGCACAGTCGGGCCTCCAGCTCACTGGCACGAAATGCACGACGAAACATTTCTCGTAACGCAAGGCACGATCCGGTTCCACGCGCCCGATGGCCAAATCGTCGACGCCAAAGTCGGAGACTATGTGACTGTCCCAATCCGAGCCCCTCACACGTTTTCGAATCCTTTCGATGTCGAAGCTAAGTTCTTCAATACATATACCCCTGCTTTCTACATTGATTACTTTAGGATTCTGGCCGAGGTGAGCAAGAACGATGAGCAGATGAGCAAGGAGAAGAATTTGGAGGTCATGGCAAGGTTTGCGACGATGCCAGCGAAGCCAATGTTGGAGGAGATGGCCAAGGGGCGGAAATAGAGGGATGATGTTCCATGGTAGGGAAATTGGAACGTGAGGAGGATAACGGCAAGGCCTGAGATAGGGGAGGTGATGGAGTTGAGTACATTAAAAGCTAGTTAAATTCCGGGGGTTATGTTATTGCTGGCATGAGATGATTGGTATGAAGGAGAACTACTGCACTTTCCACGTCTGCGCTCTGGCAGATTCTATGGATTTTCGAAGATGAAAAAAAGTTGGATAGAATGTAGAAAGCACATGAACAACCCTTTTAACATAGTAAAAACAGAGTCTCTAGAGGAGAAGTAAAAGTGGCGTATACTCAAGAAAAAGATGGCATAAGAGCACTGATACCTGCCTGTTCTTAGCTTTCCTCATCTACAGTAAATCGATTCTATTCCTCGAATTCTCGGTATAGCCATCAGTGACATTGAGCCTTCAAAAATAATCCACCACATAAATATCTCTCCTCACTTCCAGCTGCAGCATATTCAAGGCAGTCTTTATCCCATATCACTGCCAAGAACCTTGCCCGCATCGGGCCCAATCACACCACGTCTTGCCCCATACCGCCCAACAGCTCATCTCCCCTCGCCCGCCCCGATATTCGCTTATTTTTTATTTCAATTTCTCTCCTACTGTATATATATTGTAAATTTATTCATTTGTTCAACAATTCAAGATCTTCCTTGGTCTAGTGGTCATGATTTCCGCTTGTCAACCCAATAATGGGAACGAGCGCGGGAGACCGGGGTTCGATTCCCCGAGGGAGAGATTATTTTTGGCCCTACCCATATTTGGCCTTTTTCATTGGGCTGAAATTAGTTACTTAATCTCGCTGGTGAGAGTGTCAATGAAAAACGTATTTTGGGCCCATGGAAAGAAAATATCTCTAGAATGTAATGATATATTAGCGTGCATCCCTGCGACGCGAGCTCAAACATCTTGCGCACAGCCAACATAATCATGTTTCTATAGAAATGGTTAGCGAAACGGTAAGCTATAGCCAATTTTAAATGTCCATGATTCCTTCTTCACTAACAATTACATGTGAATTGTCGCCTCTGAGCCTAGTTTATACAGCGTATTCTTTCGTGGCATATCATACATCCCCTCCTACAGCGCTAGCGTAAAGTCTTTATTGCTCTAAATTTTTATAGAAGGCCTTTATCTAAGGTTTTAAACGTCTTTCTACCGCTCTAAAGTTGTCAGCCAAGGTTGGCGTGCTGTCGCAGGCAAATTCACGCAAGGTTGCTCTGGCGATCTGTACCTGCAGCAAAGCGAAACACTGATCCGGGCTATTGAAAGATGACCCCACACTGTCTTAGCTCAGACATCCTCGCGAGTATTATACTGTAAGATTATATGGCTGTGCGAGTCGCACAAGCGCTCGGAGAACAACATCATCCCGCTAAGGATTAGGCCAAGATCGGCACGGCCACGGCGCTTGTCGGTCCAACCAACACGCTGCCAGCGTCGAAACCAGCTTCGACACTTATCTCACAAGTCAGACCCTTAACCCAGAATCGCCCTTAACTTATTTAGGAATAGACAGAACTTTTAAAACTTCTAAGCTAATTAAAACTTCTAAAAACTTCTAAGAACTTTTAAACTAATTAAAACACACTAAATAAAAAAAAAGTAATTCTATTTTAAAAGTTTAAAAGAAAATAGTAGTTATTTATATATATTTTAATTTATTTATTAGCTATTAGCGTTACTATTTTTAATAGTGTACTTTACTTTTTAATACTGTGTTAAAATTCTTAAAATTACTATTATTATAAAGCGCTTGTTCTGCTTTATAATATATATTAAACATGAATAATGCTAGCACTCTATCTAACACGCTAGTAAACGCACTAGTAAATGTGCTAACTATAGCTTTATTTAGTAACTTTTTATTATTATTAAGCTTACCTTCTAGGCTTTTTTAGCTAATAAGTAACTCTTTAATTAAATAAAATAAGAATATGTTTATACTAGATTAACTTATAAACTATAATAATAATATAAGTGCCTTTAGCAACTTTACTTAAGTAGGCGGGATCTCTAGCGCCTCTACGCAGCGTTGTAGTCCTATGTTGCAGCGTGAGAAGTTGTAGTATATAGTAGATGTGTTGTAGACTGTCTAATAAAGCTTTTAAGACTTTATACTAGAATAAGTAAATAATAAAAAGAATAATACACTTCTTAAGCATTACTAGTATTATAAAGTGTGTAATAAGCAGTGTGTGTTAAAGACTTTAATAAACTTACTTTTTAAAATAAAAGTTTTTTATATAAAAAATATAATAAATTATTACACTTTAAAGCTAGATTAGCTAGTATAAAAGATATACTTTAAAATTAAGTGCTAACTTAGTATAACGTACTTTACAGGCAAGTTGCTTACACACCTAAGTTACTTACTTTTGCTAAGACTTTACTACACTACTCTTTTTACACTAATGCATTTCTAATAACACTACTTAGACATGTTAAAGAAATGTTAAATGTAGCTTACACTTTAAGCTTTTAAATAAAATATAATACTTTTTAAGTAATATACTATAGCTATCTATAAAGTCTTTTAAAAGATAATAAGTAACTAATATGCTAGATAACTTTTTTAAGCTAATTATATAGCTAACTTATAAAAGCTAAATAATAATAAAAAGTAGGTAATTATTTAGCACATACTTAAGCTAAATGCGTAAGGATTTCCCCTCTAGCTAGTAGCTGTAGCTAATATAGCTAATTTTTTATATACTAAGCATAATATAGGCTAAATTAGCATAAACTAGCTTAATATATTTATTAAGTGTTACTTAAAGCTTAAAGTATAGTTTAAGTATAAGTATAACTATAAAAAAGCTTTTTATAAAGATTTTATAGTAATTTAAAGCTAGTTTAACTTTATAAAAAATATTAAAGCTAAGTATAGTATCTAGAATAATAACATGTATAACTTTAATAAAATAAGGTTTATAATAAGCTAGATATCTACTAAAGTAGTTATTATAAGTTTAGAGAGATAAAGATAGCTAAAAGCAGTCTAGCTACGTAACTAGAAGTAAATAATAGCTATTTAGAGCATTAATGCTAAAATGTAAGCTATTCTACTTTTTATTATCTTTTAAAGTAGTAACTACTTTTTAAACTAGTATAAAAAAGAAATTTTACTTTAAGATTAAGTTATTATAATTTTTAAGCATAGCTAGACTACTAATTAGCTTAGTCTAGACTAGTTAAAGCACTTTAACACGCATATAAAAAAGTGTACTATTAGTAGCTACTATCTACTAGTTATTAATAGCTATAAAAGCTATAACTTACTTTATTTTTAGTAATACTATAAAAATAATAAAATTATTACTATTTATATACTTTTTTACTTATTATACTTTTTATAGCTATTTAATATAAGTTGTTTTACTCTTTTTAAAGAAGGTATATAAGCGCTAAGCTAAAGACTTTATGCATAACTAAATTATTTATATTATAAAAATAAAGTTTCTACTATGCTATAAAGTAGCTTATAATACTATAATTACTTTTAGTAATATCTAAAAAAGGTTCTAAAGTGCTAGATTAGTTTCTTTTAACTTATAATAAGTTATAATAGGCCTTAATATAAAGTTACACACTTTATTACTACTACTACTTATATATAATAAGCCTTAGTAGTTATAAACTTTAAGTAATACTTTAAAACTTAAGTTATAATTAATGCTTATAAAAATAAAAATTTAAAAGCATATAAATAGTTTACTAACTTTTATAGTTAAAGTGTTTAAAAAAGTTTTAAAGAAGGTAGTAATAATTATATATAAGCTAGTATTAGTGTAATAAAAAATTACTAAGCTTTAAGCAGCTAATAAGGCTACTACATAACATAAATTATATAAAAAAAAAGTAAATTAAAGTAGAAAAAACTTTAATAATTTTAAAAAGCTTATACTTAATAGCTTTAAAGATGTTTAGAGCGCGTAGTAATAAAAAAAAAGTAAAAAAGCAGGTGTAAGCTAAAGTAGGTAAGCTATTCTAAAGGCGCTACAGACAGTGCAATTAGACTAGGCATAATGCGTAAACATGTAAGCAAGAAGCAGAAGTAGTATCTAAATAATATTCTAGGCTGTACTATACTATATAGTGCTAGAGCAGGTTGTTATAGGCTATAATAGAGTTTGTTAGGGTAGGGTCTTGGCAAAAGTAAGCGACTTAGGTGTGTAAGCAACTCGCCTGTGAAGTACGTTAACTTTATTATAAGCATATTATGTAATTTACACTAGAGATATGTGTAAGAACAGAGCTCTGTACCACTACGCTAATACATCTAAAAAGGTGCGAATAATCAACTAACGTTAATTTTTGCGTACAGAATAGTATATATACCCGTCGCACGTAAGCACCATCTCAGCCTTACACGTAAGCGCCATCCTGGCCTTACATTATCCCCCTTCTTA